CTACTTGACAAGCGAAGCAGACTTGGTCCCACCATCCTTGCTAAGATATTTTCGAATCAGGCAGGCAGCTACAATGCTGATAGAATCTTCTGTTCTTCGGTTGATCTGACACAGGTCATTGAGGACCTCCACTTGAAGTTAAATGATTAATTACTCCGAGAATGATGAAGATCCACAAACTGAAACGGCATTGGTTGGAGATAGACTTCAGCATGGGTTTACTCATGGCACAAATAAAGTGCTGTCGCAAAAAATTAACATTTTGAAACATGGCTCTTCCTATTTAAGGACGACATTCTGTTAGGTTGAGCAGCGGCAACAGCGGCGACGTTTCTCGGACAGGCAAGCGGGTAATAGCCAGGTCTAAAAAAACTAGTCTTCCACGCCACGACGATGATTAAAAAAGAAATCTGAGTGGCTCAACAGTTAGCTGCACTGTATGGATAGGTTAAGCAAATTATAAGTATTGACGTATGTGATATCCGAACTCAGCCGAAGTCGGTTTAAGTGGACCGGCTTACATCACGCCTTTGCCTTTGCCTATTTTCCAATATTACGCTTACCATTAAGTATCACGAAACTATTGTTGCCTTTAGAGGCATATCCGCCCAAAAATATGTGACTGCTCAAGAGCGCCTTAGCTCTACGACTGCACTCAGCTGAGAAACACCTCATCATGAACTAGGAAGTTCACCATGCATGACAAATTAAGTTGTCTGAGGAAAGGTTTATCAAATTGATTGACTGATGAATGAAACAGAAACAGGGAGCATTCAAGGAGGAATCATTACTTATAGAACATATCAGCGAGCTTATTAAAACCAGTGATGGGACAAGTTGTGAGTTTATTGATTAGTTTTTGGGGCGAACCTGTGCTGGCAGAAGAGGTGTAATCAGACAAATCTCTCCATATGAGTGAAACTCAAGTTTATAGTTTTGCCACTCCAATGTGGACTAACAATAAGGAGAAAATATAGTGCGGTGGGTAAGTATTCGCCTGTGCACTGATATTTCCAGGGAGAATACTTTTGCTGGTTATTCTCGTGATATTCCACTTGTAACCAAGATTTTACGATAACTGTCGCGTTCGGTTACAACATATACAAAAAGGAACTTTCTCCACAGCATCTACAACTAAAGGTGACTTACCAACTTGCATTATGCTTTTATCTCCTTAATTTTAGAGTGCTTTTCTCTAAAGGGTTTTCCATAGCCAAGTATAGGAATCCTGTCAGTTAGCAACAGCTCGACTGACAGCACCGAAAAGTTTTGCTGACAAGAAGATTTCGCGCCTACGTGTTACCATGGTGATTGAAATCTTACTCGACTTTTCAGTACAAAGCTTGGTTCAAAGAAAATTGCAAAAAACCAGTAACCTGGGTTGAATTATTTAGTGACTGGTTAGTGGCAGCTAAGAAAGAAAATTAAGGGAGAAAGCATAGACAAAAATCCACTGGCTGTCCTGTCACAGCTAATAACAAATGCCTCGGGAAAATCTAATATATATCATTATATCATATTATTATATTATTATTATTATATTTAATACATATATTATAAAAAATGTTTCGGGTAAATGCCATGGGACTTTACCCAACAAGTGATCTTATTGCATCCCTTGTTAGCAAAAACATCTGGTGAGGTGTCTCCTCCGGCTTGCAAGATTGC